ATTCAGACATTATACTGGTCTGCCCCCTGTCACCTGGCAGCATGCACTCAGGCAGTGCCCTGGTCAGCCCGGAGTCCTATGAGTGCTCCATCACTGCATAGTCTGCACGCAGTGGCAAAGGACCTTTAAGAGAAAAACCCCACCCACTTCTGCCCTCCTTACCTGCTGTTCCTCTGAAGGGGCAGACAGGACTTTCCCTGTCTCTGCCTTCCTCTCTCTTTCTCTCTCTCTCTTTCTCTTCCCCTTCCTCCTCCCTCCCCTTTCTAATAAAACTTCTCACTAAGCTCTGTCTGCCTGGTGTGTTTGTCCCTGCTGCGGTTTCCCTCACAAAAATACAACACAAAAATACAATAGCACCCAGCTCTTCTGTGTTTTCTTGATCGTGTCTTCCAAATTACTTCCTATAATTGTCTCACAGATTTGTTTTCATTCTCTTACTTTATTGCATTAGAAAGCTTCTGCTTGCTCTCGGAAAGCAAGGCTTTTATGTGCTGTACCCCCAGGGCACAGAATGGTGTGTGGTATAGCATACTGGATAAGTGTTTACTGAATAAATAACTGAGCTGACTAGGGGCTCAGAAGGCAAGGACTCATGTGGTGCACGCCTGTGCTCTGAGTTCAATCCCTGGAAGCCATATAAAGGCACTAGGAGAGAGGCACCACCACAAGATTGTTCTGATCACACAATAAAAACCGAGATAGCAATGATGGAATTAAGTATCACTCATTTTTAGTTTTCCAGGATTTTCCCCTTCTTTTTTTACAATAATTTTTTATTTAACTTTTTACAAATGTTACTCCCAGCTCCCACTCCCTCCCCTCCTCCCCCACCCCCCAATACCCCCAACCTCCCACTCCATCCCCCCTCCACTCCCCAGGGAGGGTAAGGCCTTCCATGGGAGATTTTTAAAATCTGCTGTATCATCCCCAGCAGGGCCTAGGCCCTACCCCGTGTGTCCAGGCTGAGAGAGCATCCCTCCATGTGGAATAGGCTCCCAGAGACCATTTGTGTGCCAGGGATAAATAATGATATACTACCCAAACTCCCAAAGATTGTCGAGGCCTCTCTGACACCCAGGTTCAGGGGGGTCTGGATCAGTCCCATTCTGGTCTCTCTGTCATCAGTCTGGGGTCCATGTGCTCCCCCTTGTTTAGGTCAGCTGCCTCTGTGGGTTTCACCAGCCGGGTCATAATGGCCACTCTATTATGGTATCTCTCATCCTGCTCTTCTCTATTCTTTCCCTGACTCAACCTTCCTGCTCCCCCATGGCCTCCTCTCCCCTCCTCTTCTCCCCCTCTCCTTCTCCCATCCTCTCCCCCCCCCCCCCCCCCCCGTGCTCCCAATCCCCTCAGGAGATCTCATCCCTTCTCCGGGTTACCATGCACATCTCTTTTAGGGTCCTCTGGCAGTAGGATTGTAGGCTGGCAATCCCCTGATCCATGCCTAAAATCATATATAAGTAAGTAGATACCATGTTTGTCTTTTTGTGACTGGGTTACCTCACTCAGGATGGTTTCTTTTAATGCCATCTATTTGCCTGCAGATTTCAAGATTCCATTGTTTTTTTTTCCGCTGAGTAGTACTCCATTGTGTAGATGTACCACATTTTCTCTATCCATTCTTCAGTTGAGGGGCATCTAGGTTTCGTCCAGGTTCTGACTATTACAAATAATGCTACTATGACCATTGTTGAGCAGATGTCCTTATTGTATGAATGCACATCTTTTGGGTATATGCGTGTAAGAGTGGAATTGCTGGATCTTGTGGTAGACTGATTTCCATTTTTCTGAGGAATCTCCATACTGATTTCCAACATGGCTGTACAAGTCGGCACTCCCACCAGCAGTGAAGAAGTGTTCCCCTTCCTCCACATCCTTTCCAGCATAAACTGTCATTAGTGTTTTTTATTTTAGCCATCCTGACAGGAGCGAGATTGTATCTCAGAGTTGTTTTGATTTTCATTTCCCTGATGGCTAATTTTCCCCTTCTTTAGGTTAGTGATTCACCTTAGTCTTTACTGTTCCATTTCAATCTCTCTTTCCCTCATTCCTTCCTCTTTTGTTTCCAAGAAAAACAAATCAAATCAGATACATTTTAAACTGTTCTGAATGGAAAGCAGGAAGAGATTCTGATAATATCAGGATGAGTTATCTCTCTTCTTTGTTTGCCTTTTATTTAACTGAAGCAAACACACGAGCCAGAAGAAGGTCAGAGATTGTAAGTTACATAAGGCCAAGCATAATGTGGCTCAGTATTTATTCAAGGGTTCATATGTTCTTAAAATAGGATCAATAAACATTCATCACCAAAGGATTTTCGTTATTCTCCCATTACACACACCTAAACACACAAACTTATGAGAAAACACAGCAGTATTTAAAAGAGGTGTGTGTGAGTCCTGGATTTTTTTTTCTTCTGAATCAATCTTGACTGAAGAACATTTTTTAAATTAGACATATAAGAGTTTTTCCCAGGGAGAAGCCAAACGTGGGGTGGCTCAAGCTACAGAGAACCAACTGACAGCCCTGGGGTCAGCCCTCGTCCACACAGTTGCTGTGCTAAACATCTTCTCTTTTTGAACTATGTTTTCAACAGGAGCTAAGCAAATCTTGTCCCATTGAGAGGTGCTGCCCTTGGGAATCCGGCCCTGGCCAGTTCCCACAAGGCTGTTTTCTTACAGTCAGCCCTCCCTTCCCTTCATGCCATCACTTGCTTTGTCCCTCAAAATCTGCAAATTTGATATAGCTGCAGTTGTTGTGTCAAATTCTGAACCCCCAACTCACCAAGAGACCCAATCAATACAAAAGCAAAGAGTCTTTAATTCTAACAAGTTAACTGTATTAACTCGGTCCCTCTGTTCATCTGACACAGTGGGTGGAGCCAAGAGGACCTGGAGGGACCGAGGGGTGGGGCATATATTGGGGCAGAGCAAGGAGAGTGTCTGGGGTCCACAACAGTCTCAGAATTGGTACATTTCTAGGCTTGGACCACCTGTCCTGTGTTGGTTGGTCAACTGGTTGCTATGGCCTATAAGGCTCCCAGGGCAGTTGCTATGCTCTGTAAGTCACTGCTGACATAAAGCACATCAAGAATCTGCCAGATAACTTCTGATTGGTTCCTTGCTATATGGAGGGCATCCGGCTTCCTAGTGACTGGGGCAGGCCCAGCAAGGTCAGAAGGTCAGAAGATGTGCTGAGTCAGAGGTCTACATCCTGCTGGGTCTTTTCTGCAGCCTGTCATGGCTGCCAAAGCAGGGGCTGGGTGAGGGTCTAGTCCCTTCACAGTAAGCCAAAAAAAAAAAAAAAAACCAAAAACCAAAAAACAAAAAACTGTTCCTTTATTCCATCATTAAAGTCTTGATCTTCTTCTGTAATGCAGTACCAAGCACAGCTGAGAGTATACGGTGAAAATTTAAATAAAAAATTTTGAGATTATGGATATTCAAATAAATGAAAAACTATCATAGAACAAGGACAAGGAAATTAAAATTATAGGCAAACAATTTAAATAATTGTTATATTTAACCTAAATAAATAAGTGAGCATACTTATAAAGAAAAACCATGTGTTTATTGAATTTGTTAAGTAAATCCTGCTCACACTTCACAAGGTAAGAAAAATTAATGCAATTTGGGGCATAAATGATAAGTTAAAAATACATTCATGGGTGGCGCTCGCCTTTAATCCCAGCACTCAGGAGGCAGAGGCAGGCGGATCTCTGTGAGTTTGAGGCCAGCCTGGTCTACAGAGTGAGTTCCAGGACAGCCTCCAAAACAATACAGAGAAACCCTGCCTCAAAAAACAAAAAGCAAACAACAACAACAACAACAAAAAACATTGATGGGTATCTAGTAAACTCCTGGACACTGCTTCCCAAGGCTTAGTCTCCAGAATGGAACTGTGTGTGTATATGGAAACTGAGACACGGGGCCTGGTAAGAAAGGCTCTTTGGAGGGAAGAGTGGGCCCAGCTCCCTCCTCTTCCTCTCTGTTGAGACACAGTCATGAGGCGAATGGTTTCACTTTGCTGCAAACCATAAAATGCTGTCCCACCCTCAGTAGCTAAGGCCTGAAAACATGATCTGCTGCCCCTACCAATAGTTTCCCAATCGTGGACAGGAACTTCCAAGTCTGTGAGCCAGAACAGACTTTTTAGACCCTGATTAACTCTGGTGTTTAGCACAGTAAAGGTAGCTAGTGCATCCATGACAAAACCTTTGATGTCTTTGTCACACATCTTTGCTAAATATAGTTGTAAAAAGTAGTACTTCCTGTGTCTTTGCTGGCTCCAGAGAGACACAGATATCCTCAGTACTGTGGTAGTCTTTGTGATCATAGAAAAGGTTTCAGAGCAAATCCTAGTACAAAAGTGTAAACCAATGCAAGAGAACTTTCAGTTATCCCTGTCCCTTGTGTCCCACACGTTGAACTGTGACTGCCTGAAGATGTATGGGTAATGTACTTTTTGTAGAAGGGGTTCTGGTGGGGACTGGACCTTGAACTGGCCGTAGTGGCCATGGGAGTCTTAGAAGCCACTCTGTGTATTTACTGCCACAGTGGGTCTCATGTTCTAATTGCTTTGCCTTTTGAAAGTGAGACAGGTAGGAAACACCCAGCCTTCCCAGGATGTCGGGCTGAGGATGGAGCAGAGTTGGTGATGTTAATGATAGGTTTATTGTAGATTGTTAAAGACAGAATTACTGTAAATAGTCTGTAATGTCTATTCTTCCTTCAAATAAACTAAGTTGTGGGTGGGCTGGACAGATCTGACTCTGGCTGACGTCTGTTGGACCCTTCCCTTACACTCAGCTGCTTTGATAGTGATGCTGGCAGCTTGTCTAGGTGACAAGCTGGACTCTCATGTGACAACCAGGCTTTGAACAGCTCTTGGGAGCCTTGAGAAAACTACCTTCCAGCTACAGGAGCACTGTGACCTTGGCTGCAGGGGTCATGCCTCCTGCTTCAGGGGATCTCGAAGTCATGACCACTCTAGATGCTTACCTTCATTGCCTTGAGAAGACCTCACTGCTAGCCAGACAAGCCTTGGTGAACTTGCTCACCCTGAAGCGTCTCCCATTCGGGTGGGAGTATCAGGTGACTCAGTGGGATGCTTGGACTATAACAGCAATCTAGACTGAATGGAGAGAAGGAGGGAGCAGTGAGCATAGGACCTATGTCTCCTGGTTGCTAGGAACACTCTCTTTGTACAGGTCTTGCCTTTCCTAGGCACTGTTAAGTACTAGCTTACAAGTACCCTAGAAGACACCTACTGATCTGATGGCTCCCAAGAAATGTTAGTGGTTCTACTTCTGTAGTTAAAGAGACTACACCCCCAACTCCCACAACTAGATAGCCAACATGTTCAAGATACTGTTTACTTCTTTGCAAAAATAAAGCAGGATGAAAGCCCTTGCATGGTAGAAAGGAAATGCCCCCTTTTGAGGAAGGATTTTACTCTGTAACCTAGGCTGGTCCTAGACTTGTGATATTACTGCATAGCCCAGGCTGACCTTGAACTTGTGAGCCTCTGGACTGCTAGGATTACAGTAAGCACCATGGTTGCCTTGCCTTATAGGACATTATAATAGATGTCCTCCCATGACTTTTGTTGTGTTCAGAGTACGGTGGTTGTGGTTTTGTTTGTCACCTGCTTGTTGTGATTTAAAAAAATACAATTGATTTTTAGATTAGATTATTATTCCTCATAGATTGTAAAAGCTTTCAAGATTCAGAAAGAGTCATTCTTGCCAAACTGACAATTAAGGAGGGCACTCAGCATTTTGCCTAAAATCACTAACTATGGAAGGAGATTTTTTTTTCAGCTGCAGTTTCTCACATGGATCATACGAGGGGAGCTAGGCCTGTGGTGTCAGAACAGCCACAAGCACACCGGGCAGACTTGGCCAGTAACGTCCCGTGACGTTAACACTGGTTTTCTAGTAATTGCAGCCATTGGCCAATCTTTCCTGTTCATGCATAATGCTACAAAGACCAGAAAGCCATCTTTCAAAACATGTTCTGTAACTTTTCCCTTTCCCCAGTAAAACCCCAGCCTCTCCTACCCCTCCTGTGTATATGTCCCAGATTACAATAGAACTCTGTTTAATCCCAAATATAAATTATATTAATTGAGTCCCCTCTAGATTTTCTTGGATGTTGACAGAGTATAGACCTTTATCATTATGAAGCAAGGCTAATTTACTCAGGCACTGTTCCCTCATGAGTAATTAAAATGACAATCAATGGATTACCCATTAAGGGAATACCTTTCAGTTTCCAAAGTACTTTCACATACATTACCCCACTATAACCCAGTACCAAACAAACACATTAGCACTATCTACATTTTGTAAATGAAGGGATGCATTCAAAGTAAACAGTACACTGTGGATTCAGGGCTCCTCCAGGTCTGCTCCTATTTGCCCAGTCACTTGAAAATGATAATTTTCTACTTCAACTTTGGATTAACATGCCATCAAATATATACTACTAGAGTAAATGTTAATTATTGGAGTGTTGCCTAGTCCTTTAGAGCCCTGTGAGCAATTATTCTTTTCTTGCTGTCTATTGAACATCCTGTACACAGAATTAATCTGTTGTGGCTAGATGCCAAGCTGTTCTATTAGAGGAAATAGAAATCATTTGAGGCTATTTCCCCCATCTAGTGGGCACTGATGTGTTTATGTTTTTTTCTTTATTGGAGGATGTGTTCCAGGATCCAGGGATCCTGATCCCAGACAATGGCTAGATCCTGTGTGCTTTGTTATAGACCTGTTAGAATTGGAGCATTAAGGACAGAGACCTGACAGATAATTTTTTGTCTTAATGGTATAAAATAAAAGAGACAGCCAAACTCCTTGCTTGCTAGTTTAAATTACTTGACAGAATGTTTGGATTACTCAGTTACACCCAAGAGGAAAGCGGTCTCTTTATTCCCTCTTCACTAGGGGATCTCGACTTGTTTACACATTGGAACAACAAACGCTACTGAAAATCGTGACTTGATACACACAGCACCTGGACATAGGTAGTTTTGAAACTCTGACATAACTAGTTCAAATAACCAAGGTGCGACATTTGGCATCTGACTTCTGGGTATATCAGGAGGAAGCTTTTCCCTTAAGCAAACACAGACAGACAGACACACAGATACACAGACACACACCACACACACACATAGACACACAGACAGACAGACAGACAGACAGACACATACACACAGAGGCACACATACAGTCACATACAGATACATACACACACATGCAGGCACACACACATATAGGCACACAGACACACACATACAGGCACGCACAGACACATACACACACATACACAGGCACACACACACAGACACACACACATATACAGGCACACACACATGCAGGCACACACACATATAGGCACACAGACACACACACACAGACACACACATACAGGCACGCACAGACACATACACACACATACACAGGCACACACACACAGTCACACACATTAACAGGCACACACAGATACATACACACACATGCAGGCACACACACAGACACAGAGGGGGGCTCTCAATAAACACTAGCACTGCCTGACTCCTTTAAGATGGGAAAACAGCCAGACCCAGGTGATAATTTTATTTTTTTTTTCTGGTTTATTGTTCTGTGGTCGTTTGTTTGTTCATTTGTTTGCTTGTTTTGAAACAGGGTTTCACTGAGTAACCCACATGGATTTGGGACTTGAGGCAATCCCCCTGCTCCATCTCTCAGCTGCTGGGATTATGTATAAACCACAATGCTCATGTCTTATATTCTGTGACAAAGTATTCAGTTCACTCGGATTTAAAGCAGATGGTTCTATTTCAATTAAGAACGATTTCTGCATTTCAAAATGTGCCAAATAACATAGCCTGAAGCTGCTTGCTTTCAGGTGCCTGAATAAAAATGAGCTGAAATCTTTTTTTTTTTTTTTTTTTTTTTTTTTTTGGTTTTTACGAGACAGGGTTTCTCTGTATTGTTTTGGAGGCTGTCAGTCCAGCCCGGCCTCGAACTCACAGAGATCCGCCTGCCTCTGCCTCCCGAGTGCTGGGATTAAAGGCGTGCACCACCACCTCCCGGCACGAGCTGAAATCTTAATCAGCTTGTAGAAACAGCTCTCTGTGCCCCATTCCTGTAGGTGACTGCAGAGCGCCACACCGGTGCTCTTTGGATTTTTACACTAACACGGCTACAAGGGTAACACTGGGTTTTAACAAACCCTCTGATTTTAAGGAAAATAAAACAAGCTTCTATTTCACTCAGGGGACGATATCAGCTATGTCGTCCACTGAATTTAATCAGCGAGTGTTTAGTAACCGAGTTTCTAGACAAACAGGTACCAGTCATCGATAGGTCAGATAGCTATCTATGTTTCTAAGATTCACAGACGTAGTAAAGACAGCTGACAAGAACAATCACAACACGGCGATCTGGGCATAATTAAAGGATGCATGGAGGAATACCCAACGCTAACTTGGACCAGGTTGCTGGAGAAAGAGGCCTGACACAGAAGGGTTTGACTTCCTTGTGCTGGAGTCCATGTTTAAACTTTAGAAGGAAAACTCTGGAAGAGCAGGTGGAGGATCCAGTTAGCAAACACACACTGGCCAACGCTCACCGTGGCCCTACCATTGTTCTTTGTGCTCACACGATAAATCACTTCATCTTTGGAACGATTCTCTAGGCAGGAGGTCTTATCAGCTCTGCTTTACACACGAGGAAATACGCACACAAAGATTAAGCAACTCGACTGAGGTTGTATGGCTATTAAGGAGCAAAGCCAAGACGTAGAAGAGAAGGCTTGCCTCCAAGGTTGTCACTCTGTCCTTACGGTATACTGACTCAGGGAAAGGGATGAGTTGCCACCTGGGAGACATTTGCAATCATACAGCAGAAATAGGATATACATCTGAGGTTAAGTAGGCAGAAACACTGAACCAGGCACTGGGACCCAGAGCTCAGGATTGTCCTCAGCCACATAGCAAGTTCAGGGCCAGCCTGAGTTGTGTCTCAATAAACCAATCAAACAAACAAACAAATAAAAACAGAAAAAAAATAACTGACATTCATACCTTGATTTCCTAACTTGAAGAACTAGATAAACTACATAGCTTTTAGCTGAATCTGAGGACTTACAAGTTTCAAAAGCATGGACCAGAAGGAAGACAAAAGTGGAAATAATATTTATAAAACAACATTTGTGTTTCAAACATAGCTATTTTGATAAGCTCCTGTATTCTGAAATGTGGGTACTAAGTATAGGGGACTGAGGTTCAGAGAGGTCCCCGAGACCACACAGCACGGCAAATGTACCCCTAAGAGTCCCTTGGTTCTGTCTTGGGCACCACATTGCTTTTGTAGCATTTCATCCATGCTGACCGTGAAAGTCCCAAATGAATGCCCTTTTTTTTTCCTCAAGGTCTTGGGGTAATCAAAAGGTAAGCAGGTGACCAGAGCTGGTTTTACTGGCTTACAACTTAGAAATCTGGACACACGTGGTGAGTGGTAACAACAAAATTCCACCTTCAGCCCATCAGGCATCCCAGCGCTTCCAAGCTCAGAAAGTGTATACACGGCAACGGATCACCCATGGCTCAATATGAAACCCTTTCTGTCTATCTCCGGTGCCTATTCCAGGGTCAGTGAAAGCCTTTGACAGACAGTTAATCAAATCAGGGCTGTGTGGTATAATTTATACACAAAATTCCATACTGTTTAATGAATCATTTCTATGGCTGTTCACAAACATGCAGCCAGGAAACAGGTCAAAGACAAGTTATGGGGTTTAGGATGTAGCTAAGCTGTGGAGTGCTTGCTTAGTATGTGGCCTGGGTTCATTTCCTCATGCAAAAACCCAAGACAAAATAAACCTCCAGAATGTTCTCATCACCAAACAGCTCCCTGCTGTCTCTTTAGAGCGCTGTAGTTAGCCTTACCACCCTGACAACTGCTGCTTGGTAAGGCCCTGTCGCTTGGCCGTTCCCAGAGCACCATGTAAGTGGAATTTTACACCGTTCGATCTTTACCCAGCACATTGCATCGGCGAGTCCTTCATGAGGTTCCACAATCATTAATTCCTTTATCACATCGATTTTACTGAGCGTTAGGTTTGTTGTCAGATAGTCAACGACTATTCATTAATTAGTCTTGGCACTGTCCTAGCCCTGAGGCTACAGCAGCGATGGAAAGAAGCTGAGTCCCTGCCTTTGATGAGTATATGCCACAGTGTGGAGGGGGGACAGATGAAATGATATACACTGAACAGACTTTTTTAAATTTAGTCTCAAGAATTGATAAGTGCGGGACACAGCTGTAAAGTACAGAGTGCAGGTGTTCTGAAGGGACTGACTTGCCTAGAACGGCTTGATAAAGGTCTCTCTGAAGAAGAGATGAGGATTGAAACCTAGATAAGGGGTAAGGCCAACCATGCCAAGATCTGGACAAAAAGAAAACAGTGGAAGGGAGAGCGAGTGCCAAGGCCAACAGGGGCCAAGATTAGAGTTTTCAAGAGACAGAGAGAAGGCTTAAGGAACTGGAGTGCCCTGGACCAGAAGCGAGTCACTCAGAAGGTCCAGGCAGGAGCTGAGGCAGGTAGGTGTGATAGGCCAGAGCTGGAGAGTGAGTTCTGAGATGGTTGGAAAGGGAAAACTTTGAGGTTTAAGATAAAAAGCTATGGAATCTGATCTCTGCTCCTTTCATGAAAGTTTCTCTGCTGTCCGTGGTGGATGGACTGACTGTGTAGGGCACCGCAGTGGTTTAAGACTCACGGCAGGAGGAGATGGGTGTGCAGCTCAGTTGAGAGACAGCTTGCTAGCAAGGATGAAGCCCTGGGTTCAAAACTCCAGCGCAACATAAGTCCTGCATTGTGACACATGCCTGTAATCCTGGGCCTCAGTGGAGTCAGGAGGTTCAGAAGTCCAAAGCCAGTCATCCTCAGCTACATAATGAGGCTTGGACACACAAGGCCCTGTCTGAAAGGGGAAAACAAAACCAAACAGTTCAGGGTAGGAAAAAGTGATCTGATGATTCATGCCTGCACCCTAGAGAATGGAGAGTTGAAGGCCAGCCTGGGCTACATAGTGGGACACAAAAACAGAGAAGCAGGAAGATGTGTCTGGTAGCTTCCTACACAGTTAGGGGACAGCTGTAACCAAGACAGTAATAACTTAGATGGTAAGAAGCGCTCACATGTGATACTTTCATGATACCATAAGAACAAAAAAAAGAAAAACCATGCCCAGATACAATTAAATTTTAACATTCATTTTTAAAAGATTTTATTTTACCAATTTCATTAGTGCAAGTCTGAGAAAATACACAGAATTCAAGACTCTCCATAAAATACAAAATAGGTCAGCCACTAATCGGCATGGTGCAGGTAGTCTTGAGGATAGAAGCCGGGGCATCTGCCGAGCCTTAGAACACCCCCTGGCCTTCAGCCAGCATGAGCTGTGGTTTACCTTGCCTCCACTGTGTGGTGAGAACAGACAGCAACACACACACACACACACACACACACACACACACACACACACACACACACACACACACACCAAAGTCTGGATGTTCCCAAGAGCTCTTGAACATTGGTTAATAAAAAAGGATAGAAAGGGGTTGTCATATGGTTAAGATCAAGTCATGCCACTCTTCATTTAGAGATGGGAAACATTATAAAGTTGACCAACACACTATAGTGAACTTCATTTAGAGATGGGAAACACTATAATGTTGGTTCGTACACATCTAGCCGGGGCAAGCTATTGCAAACCACGCTTCCTCTGGCTCCAGCTCTTTCTCCCAGACATGCTCCCTTCTGCCGGGACATTAAGGCCCATGTGAAACCGCTCGGCGCCATGCTCTGAGATTATCATTTTGATCATCCGACAGCTGCTTCTCCAGCCAAGACCAACATCCCTTGTGAATACAGATCGGTTCTGAGGACATGAAAGAGTGCCTCTTCACAACGTATTCTGTTCTCCTAGCTGTCCAGACCTTGTTTGTTTCAAAACAACTAACCAGTCTTCAGTCATATACCCTTGCCTTCCCTGGACCGCCAACAGGTCAGACCTGAGGAACAGTGGATGATTTCAGTGTCCTCTGCAGCCCCAGCCTGGAATTCCTAATGTAGCCAAGGATAACCTTGAATTTC